ACAAAACAATATCAGAAGCATTTTAAAAAAGCTACACATCATTTTATATTGTTCAAATACGCTTCTGAAATGGAAATTTTCTAATGTTGAGACCATCATGAATATGGTAACAATGACGAAATGATAATTAAAAAAATTAGTTATGATAATGAATCTTGAAATGGTAGGTACATGAAAAACAAATAACATTACTGCAAAATAATATAAAGAAGTTACAATTTCTTCTACGCATAGTCAATATTACATCTAACCTTTTTATAATAAATTTTACAGTAGAAATAAATAAGATACAAAAGGATATCTTGAAAAAATAAATATTTGTAGGTATACTTAAACTCTTTTATTTAAGCATTCCTATACACGTACACAAATATAAACATTTGTACATAATATAAAATAAATGACATATATTTCACTTGATTCTTCCGTATTTCAAATAGTTCTCTGAAACGTATACCTAGTTCCATGTTCCATTTTTTTAGTTTTTGTCCTCTTGTCTTTAATAGGTATTAGGTAGTGGGTTTAATAACTATGTTTAGGTAGATGTGACGGCAACAAAATTCGAAATATCTACACATCGTTTTAAACATTTTACATCAATATTCATTATTTTATATGCACCTTACAATAACCACAACTGCACACACTATAAATTATCACATAAAATAGCATCAAAGTAACGATCATGGAGACTATTCTCCCTGATAACGATGAAGAACAACTAAGCCAGGCAAACGGGTAAAGGCAAACCGCAAACCTAACCTAACACCTAACATAATACGAATTGAAAACGGCACACGTGAAATAAATAAATTCGGGCTGTTACGCGCGGTCTGCGCAAGTCACGAACATACCTTTTTTCTAGACTTGTGTTATAAATATGCTACCACAATTTTTTTTCTGTTTATGTCTGGTTGTACATATAACAAAGGCAAATGAACTAACGCTTGCTATAATGATGGGGCTTGAGAGCAAAATTTAAGTAATGTCAAATGGAAGTTCCATAAGATAAACAAAAGCAAAGGGTTGTTTGTTTGTCGTTGTTACGTTTCCGAGATCGAAAGGGAATGTTTCGAGTAATGTTTCAAACTCACTTCAATTGGAATGTTTCGGCTATGTTTCACTAAGTAAGTTTTCAAGTGCTACATTTCTGTAATGAAACAGCAACGTTTCTAGTTATTGTTTCAAATGTGTAGTAAAACAGCTCATTTGCAACGTTTCATTTACGTTTCGTGTTTAGTGGG